AACACGGGTGCACTTACATACATGCAAGCAATATGCTCATATACATAAAATAAAAATAAATGAAAAAAAGAGGCAGGTATCTCCCAAAGAATGGCACCCAGAGTTGCCCTCTGGCTTCCACATGCATATGAACATATACACATATATATACATGGACTCATACACACAGACATACATATACAGAAATCTAGATTCACACATGAGAGAAAATGTGACACTTGACCTTTGGAGACTGGCTTAACATCATGGTCTCCAGTTCTATCTATTTTCCTGAAAATGATATGATTTTAATTATTTTTATTTTTTTATTTTTATTTTTTTGTCTTTTTGAGACAGGGTCTCCTTGTAGTTCCAGTTGGCCTGGAACTCGCTATGTAGACCGGGCTGGCCTTGAACTCACAGAGATACTCCTGCCTCTACCTCCCAAGTGCTGGGACTAAAGCTTATGCCACCATGCCCAGCCCCTTTTTTGAGACAGTCTTATACAGCCCAGATTGGGCTGGAACTCACAATGTAGTCAAGATGACCTACAATTCTTGATGATCCTGCCTCAACTTCCCAAGTGCTGGGATTACCACTATGCCTCCACATCCAGTTTATGTGGGGCTGGGAACTGAACCAGAGGCCTTAGTGACTTTGAAAAGATATTTTATTTTGTATTTTTTTAATGTGGTGGAAATTTATTATGCATGCATCCATGCACCCATGCCATGCAATGTCCATGGAGGTCAGAAGAGGGTGTCAGATCCCCTGAAACTAGAGTTATAAACAGTTGTTAGCTACCATGTGGGTGCTGGGAATCAAACCCAGTCCTCTGTAAGAGCAGTCAGTGCTCTTAACCACGGAGCAATCTCTCCAGCCCCTGATTTTTATTTGTTAAAGCTGCATAATACTCCATTCTGCATATATACCATATTTCCCCTACCCATTCCTCCACTAATAGACACCTAGCTTAAGTCTGTATCTTAGACATTGTGAATAGTGTCTCAAACAATGTGAATGCAGGCATCTCTGTTGTATTCCTTCAGGTATGGCTACATCATGGTTTGTTTGTTTTTTTAGTTTCTTGAAGAACCTCCACACTGATTTCCACATGGGCTATATTAATTACATTTCCACCAAAGGTGTACAAAGGTCCCTTTATTCCTCCCTTCCTGGCTAGCATTTGTTGATAGTCTTTTAACTAGAGTGAGATAGACTCTCAATGTAGTTCTTCTTTTCATTTTTTAAAAATTGAGACAGGGTCTTATGTATCCCAGGCTGGCCTTGAACTCACTATAAACCAAGGATATCCTTCAACTTCTGCTCTTCCTGCCTCTCCCTCTCAAGTTCTTGGATTACAAGCCCATGCCACCACCCCCAGTTTATGTGGTACTGGGGATTGAACCCAGGGTTTTTGTGCATGATAGTTAAGTACTCTACCAACTGAGCTACATCCCTAGCCATCCACAAAAGGTGCATAAGTGTTCCTTATTTCTCAAATCCTTGGTAGAATTTGCTTTCTTTTAAAAAATTACTGCTTTTAATTATGTATATATGTGTGTGTCACTGTGTGTGTGTATGTACACATAAGTGTAAGTACCCACGGAAGCTAGAAAAGGGTATTGGATCCCCTGGAGCTGGAGTTACAGGTGGTTGTGAGCTGCCTGGTGTGGGTACTGGGAACTGAACTAGGGTCTTCTGCAAGAGCAGTACATGTTCTTAACCACTGAGCCATCTGTCTCTCCAGTCCTTGTTCTCTTGATTAGAGCCATTCTGACAAGACTGAGAAAGAATCACAATGGTAGTTAAATTTTTTAAAAATTTATTATTCTTGTTTTATGTGTATGCATGTGTTGCCTGTGTGTAGGTAAGTGCACCCGTGTCGTGCAATGCCTACGGAGGCCAGAAGAGGCTGTTGGATCCCCTGGGACTGGAGTTACGGACAGTTGTTAGCTGCCATGTGGGTGCTGGGATTTGAACCGGGTCTTCTGCTAGAACAACCAGTGTTCTTAACCGCTGAGCCATCTCTCCAGCCCCTGTAGTTTTTTTTTTTTTTTCAGGATTTTATTTTTTTATTTTTATTTTATGCCTATGAATACTTTGCCTGTGTGTATGTAAGTTCATCCGTGTCATGCAATGCCTGCAGAGGACAGAATAGGGCATCACATCTCCTGGATCTGGAGTTATAGATGGTATTTAGCTGCCATGTGGGTACTGGGAACTGAACCCAGGTCCTCTTCAAGAGCAGCCTGTGCTCTTAACCACTGGGTCATCTCTCTGGCCCATTATTTTATTTCTAATTATATGTATATGTGTGTGCTTGTTGGTATGTTTGTGCATGTAGGTTCAGATACCTGCTGAGGCCAGAGGGCACCCATTCCCTAGAGCTGGTAATACAGGTGGTTGAGCTGCCTAGTATGGGTGCTGGAAATTGAACTCAGGTCCTCTGTAAAAACAGCATGCACTCTTAACCATTGGTTTTAAGGTGTCTTTGACCTTTTCTTACCAGCTGTCATCTGAGACAGAGCTCCACGAGCAGTAGGGAAGGAGTGTAAGCAAAGCAGACGGACCCTGTCGATTAGTTATTAATAAAACAACTTCTCTATTAGTCTCTTCTTATAACACTTTGTGCCTGCATGAAAGTACTTTTCATACTGACATTTATAATTAGCTGTTTCCCTTTCTCCTTTCCTTTTGTCCTCCTTCATTTTCCTTCTGTCCTCCCGTCCTCTTTTTCTTCCTTTTTTTAAATTAAAAATTATTTATTTTATGTGTATGAGTGTTTTGCCTGCATATATGTAAGTGAACTGTGTGCATGCAATGTCCGTGGAGGTCAGAAGTGGGTGTCGGATCCCCTGGAACTGGAGTTATTAGCTGCCATGTGGATACTGGGAACTGAACTTGGGTCCTTTGTAAGAGCAGTCAGTGACTCTTTTGAGACAAGGTCTCATGTAGCCCAGGCTGGCTACAAACTCAGTATATAGCTGAGGATGACCTTAAACTTCTGATCCTCCTGCCTCCATCTCCTGAGGGTTGGGGTTGCAGGTGGGCACTACCATGCCCAGTTTATGCAGTGTTGGGGACAGAACCCAGGGCTTCATGCATGCTAGACAAACACTCTATCAACTGAGCTATGATCCCAGTCCTCTGTCTTGTGTTTGTCTTTCAAACTAAAAGCTTCTGGGGATCAATGAATAGTGCTTGCTGGTCAAGTGTAAGGACTGGAGTTATGATACCCAGAGCCCACATAAAAGCTGGGTGGATATGGCAGTTCACCTGCAATTAACTTTAGCCTCAGAAGACAGAGACAAGAGATTTCCCAGAGCAAGCCAGCGAGCTAGACTAACAGTATCAGTGAGCTCTGTGTTTTTATTCAAAGAATAAGGTGGGCTGGGTGTGCTGGCCAGCTTAATCCCAGGATTTGGGAGGCAGAAGACAGGCTGATTTCTGTGAGACTGAGACAAAACTGGTCTACATATCAAGTTCTAGGTCAGCTGGGGCTACAGGGAGACCCTGTCTCAAAAAAAACAAAAACAACAATGACAACAACAACAACAAAACCAAGCAACCAAGCAACCAAACAAAAACCCCCAAACAAACAAAAGAATAAGGTGGAAGAGTCATTGAGGAAGATTCTGGATATCAACCTCAGGTCTCCATTGGTACATGCATACATGTGTCCACACACATGAAAAAAGAAAAAGATGGAAGCAAGATCTTGTCTTAGAAAAGCAAAGGAATAAAAACTATCAAACCCCTCAAATTCCAGAATACTAGAATAATTGGAAGTCAACTATATTTTTATCTCAGGGGCTTTAGTCAGTACTATGATTATCTTTACTTCATTTTATTTTTGAGATAGAGTTTCACTATGTAGCCCTGGCAGGACTGGAACTTGCTGTGTAGACCAAACTGGCCTCAAACTCACAGAAATCCACCTGCATCTGACTCCGAAGTGCTGGGATTAAAGGCATGCTACCACAACTCCCCCTATTTTTTAAAGATTTTTTGTTTTGTTTTGTTATTTATTCATTTATTTATTTATTTATTTAACAGGGTCTCACATAGCCTGGGCTGATCTCCAGCTCACTGTGTAGCCAAGGATGACCTTGAACTGATCCTCCCACTCCCATCTCCCAAGAGCTGCACCACCACACCTGGTTTCCGTGGTGTTGGGGGTGGGATCTAGGGTTTCTCACTTGCTGGGAGGGCCCTCCACTCTTGAGCTACATCTCCAGCCCCACCCCTTCTTTTCTTTCGCATTGCTCTCTGGTTGGCTGTGGAGTTAGGAAAGTGGGAGGGCAAGGAGGGTGGACCGGAAGGGCTGGTGCGCTTAGTGATTCTCTGTAGAGAACGTGTTGCTTGGTGAATGTGCAGTAGGATGCTAGTGGGCTTCGGATTCTCCTGCCTCTGCCTCCCAAGTGCTGGGATTAAAGGCGTGCACCACCATGCCTGGCTATTTATTTTGTTTTTTAGAAGAAGCGTTTCATTACAGCTTTAACATAATAACAATTTATTTTTAATTTTATGTGTATGTTTGTGTGTTTGAGTGCATGTATGTACACGTGATTGAAGGCGTCTGCAGAAGCTAGAATAGGGCATCAGATTTGCTGAAGCTGGAGTTACAGGTGGTTGTGAGCTGCCTGACATGGGTGCTGGGAACTGAACTTTGTTCTTCTGCAAGAGCAGCAAGCGTTCTTAACTGCTGAGCCATTTTTCCAACCTCTTCTTTGTTTTAGAGATGAGGTCTCATTATGTAGCTCAGACCAGTCTCGAACTCATGATCCTCTTGCCTAGGCCTGGGATTTTTACAGTGCCACCACGCCCTGACTTTTCCTCTGTTACTATACTAAGTATTACCAATAGAGGGCGCACTGCGGCAACGCAGCGGCCCCGCTGGTGTACGCATGCGCTCCTCACTTTGCCAGGCAAGCTGGAGGCGTGGCGGAATCCAGGGGTGGGCCCTACAGGCTGCGCAGGCGCGGGCCGCCTTTGTGACGTCAGGCTGCGCACCCGGAGGCAGGCGGCAGCTTTCGGGGCCGCTTCCCGAGAGGAGCGGACAGACTCGGCTCCCCCGCTCGCTCGCCTACCGGCCTCGCCGCGGTTCCGCTCGCTCCTTGACAGCGGCTGAGCACAGGCCAGCGGCCCGGGGCGGCGGCCCTGGGCGACGCGGCGCCGAGAAGGCGGGCGGGCGGGCAGTGGAGCGCCGCGGGTCTCTATATGGCGGCGGCTCTGTCGGGCCTGGCTGTTCGGCTGTCGCGCTCGGCCGCCGCCCGCTCCTATGGGGTCTTCTGCAAGGGGCTGACCCGCACGCTGCTCATTTTCTTCGACCTGGCTTGGCGGTTGCGTATTAACTTCCCCTACCTCTACATCGTGGCTTCCATGATGCTCAACGTGCGTCTGCAGGTAGGTGAGCCGCGCCCTCCGCTACTTACATCTAGCCCGGCGGGATGCTGGTGCGCGCTGTCTCAGGTCTGCATCGTGCATTGTTTTGTCTTGCAACTCCACTCTGTGCTCAGACGGGGCTCAGAGGGCAGGTCTCAACATCAGGGGGGGTGGGGCCCGAGAAAAATGACAGGAAGGTCCCCAAAGAGGACGTTTTGTCCTTAAAAATGTCAAATTGTTAGAGGTCCGGCGGCGGCGGGCTCTTATGTTATCTTTGAAGCTTGAGCTCGATTGGAAGTTCATGATATTTTGACCAATGTATTCGATTTATTCCGACCAGGGGTTAGAAATGGCGATGAAGATGAGAGAAAATGAGGTCAAAGGTTTCAGAGGCCCGAAACAACTGTGGAATAACAGCACGCCGATATCAGCACTCTGGAGGCTGAGTTTGCTGTCAGTGATTGACATTTCCCTTTCTCTTGATTTACAAACACCCCTTTTTCTAGCAGAAGGGGACTTGTCGATTTGAGAGTTCTGTCTCAAAGTAAGAAGGTTAGATGGTGAGTTTCTTTGGATTCTGTTTACACACCTTGGAGTGTCGCAGGCCGTGATGGACGGAAGGACTCTGTCTCATCCCTGGAGAGCATAGAGTCTGACAGTATCTGTCATCTATGTATCTATGTATCTATCTATGTATCTATGTATGTACGTGTGTATGTATGTATCTGTCCATCATCTATCTATCTCCTCTATATTTTGTTGTGCTGGATACGAAACCAGGACCTTGCAGTTTTGGGGCAAGTGTTGTACTACTGAGCTATAGACCCAGCTCCAGCCAGCCTTACAGTACATATATTGTTCCCTAGGATTCAAAACAAGCCAGTTCTGAACAGTCATACCTAGTTTTTCTGTGGTTTAATCAAATCAGAGTGTAATAATTGGCTCGGTGTGTGTAAATGATCCTTGGCACAGGTAGTTACAGACCACATGAAACTTGAAGAAAGTGAGTTGGGAAAAACCAATTTTAAGGCTTAAATCAGGATTTTTTTTTTTTTTTTTTTTTGAGACAGGATCTCCCTGTAGCCCCAGCTGGCCTAGAACTCACTATAGAGACCAGGCTGGCCTTGAACTCACAGAGATCCTCCTGCCTCTGCCTCCCAAGTGCTGGATGTATGCCACCATGTCCGGCCTAGGATTTTTTTTAAATTTTTTTTTTTTTTTAAGAAGAGGTGTCTACCACCTTCCCTGGTTTGTGAGATGTTGCTGTGGACTAACCCAGAGCTGCATGGTAGGCAAATACTATGCTTCTAAATCAAGATACTCTGACATGAATAAGGATTTGAGGTATCTTTAAGTGATACCAGGCTGTGAGAATTGAGAAGTCAAACCTTTATAGTAGGTGCCACGAATGAGTAAAGGGTGCTGGATGTGGGAACCTAGATAAACCAGAAAGCCTGTGCTCTTGCTAATTAGCTGCCTGTGGAAACAGGGGCCCAGTGTTGCTGCCAGATGTGGTAACCTCAGAGAATTCAGGTATCCTGATTTTCAAATTCCATATTAACTCAAGAGTTTTCCAAAAGAAATGGGTTAAAACCAAAGTGTCTGCAGGCCATACTTGACCCTCAAGTTCCCGCTTTGGAATCTCATGAAGCATTACATAGGAGTTATAATCATTTATAAAATTACAAGGAGGACTATAAAAGATTATTTACTGAATATAATGTTATGATGAAAATTGCCGTGTTTTGTGCCGTTAAAAAAAAAAATGGGCCACAGGGCTGGAGAGATAGCTCAGCAGTTAAGAGCACTGGTTGCTCTTGCAGAGGACTGGGGTTCAATTCCCAGCACCCACATTGTGGTTAACAACGATCTGTAGCTCCAGTTCCAGGGGATCTGACACCTTCTGACCTCCAAGGGCATTGCATGACATGGGTGTAGTTATACACATGCAGGCAATATACTCATACACATACAATAAAAATAATAAATAAAATATTTTAAATTAAAAAAAAAGGGTCAGGGCTAAGCTTGGTGGCATACACCTTAAATCCTAGCAGACAGAGGCAGAGGGAGGTGGATCTCTGTGAGTTTGAGGCCAGCCTGATCTACATGGTAAGTTCCAGGTCAGCCAGGGCTTCATAGTGAGACCCATTCTCAAAACAACAAAATAAACCAACCCAAAACAAAGTTTGGAGATGTAGTTCAACTGGTAGAATGCTTGCCTAGCATGCATAAAGCCCTGGGTTCAATCTCCAGCACCCCATAAACCCAACATGGTGGCATACCTAGCATTTGGGAAGTGGAGGCAGGAGGGTAGAGCTTAGAGTTATTCATGTCATTCTCAGCTACATACCAAGTTCAAGGCTAGCCTGTCTCAAACCAAAACCAAACAAATTTTCTGAAGTATTTGCTTCTCTATGCTCACTTCTCTAGTCCAGGGGACTCCAATCACTAGCCTGGATTTTTGTGTATCTGCCGTCTGTTTTCTACTAGTCAGTTAGAGACGTCCTCTCAATATTTTTATTTTTTATTTTTGTGTGTCTGTGCATATGTATGCAGGTTCCCTTGGAGGGCAGGAGAGGGTGTCAGATCCTCTGGAACTGGAGTTTGAGGTGGTTGTGAACCACTTGGGTCAGTGCTGGGAACTGAACTCAGTTCCTCTACAAGAGCAGCATGTGCTTTTAACTGCTGAGCCATCTCTCTAGCCCCCAGAGACATCTAAGCACACATGTCCTGTCAACATTAAACATCACCCTGGTGCATACACTTCCCATGTTTATACTCTGAGGGTCCGGCTTCCCCTGACCCCTCACCTGGCTTGCACCTTGGGCATTTGCACAGGCAGTTCTTTCCATCCTGAACGTGCTTCCTTGGCAGGGACATTCTCACAGTTTAGATCTTCCAGGGAGGACTTTTGTGATCACTGTCTCTGTGATCTCCCACCAGCTTTCTTCATTGCAGTGCTGAAGACTCATTTGTTCCCTCATCTGTTTGTAGGCCATTGAGATCATCTCTGGAAAGGTGATTCAAATCCATACTTCATAGATGCACTGTAATGATTGAAGGCAAGTGCATCTGGAGGAGGAAATGAGGCCTCTAAAAAGAGTGGTGTGGTCATTGAGTGCAGGTGCTTCAGTCCCAACAACCCATTGTGAGTGGCTTGGTGGGCTGGACATCAAGTTATGGTCCGGGTGCTGTCCAGAATCTGGGGAACTAGGCATGGGCTCTTAATTCAGGGTCAAGTGGGCCCATGTGGAGGGTAAGATGCTCAGGGTCTCACCATGTTAGACCAGGCTGGCCTCAAACTCAAAAGTCTACCTGCCCCCTGAGTGCTGGAACTAAAGGCCTGTGCCACCCTGGCCACTGAAGGGCTTGCTTTCATTTAAAACATTTTTTTAAATTTATTTTTTATTGTATGTGTATAAGTGTTTTGCCTTCATGTATGTAAGTGCACCACATACGTGCAATGCCTGTCAAGGCTAGAAGAAGGCATCAGAACCCTGGAACTGGAGTTAAGGACAGTTGTTAGCCACCATGTGGGTGCTAGGAACTGAACCCCAGTCCTCTGCAAGAGCAGCCAGTGCTCTTAACCACTGAGCCATCATCCCTCCAGTCCCCACTGAAGGACTTTCTAAGAACCCTGTAAGGGTTTTATGCTTGATCTTTGACTGACTAAATGAATCGTGCAGCCTTTTCATATCCTGGGGCAAGTGGGAATGGGTACTGAGATACCTTGCCATATTGTAATCTTTATATCTGCTGGTTTAAGCTCCCCTGAAAGTTTTAGGAATTTTGCTTATTTGTGAAAAACTACTAACTCAACCTGGTTTGAAGGTTTAATCATTTTGACCTTTGGGTAAAGGGAAGTGAAGTAGGAACTAGAATCTGACTAAGGGGAACTGCCCCAGCTCACAGTCTTTTTTCCCCTCCAGTATACTGTTACAGGGGGACTGGAATTATGTTTAGAAGGTATTGAGCTCTATGAGACTCTAAATAGAGTCCCCCATGTTTAAATTTGTAGAGCATTGAGGCACCCCCAGTCCTCAGGAAGTGTTGAGCATAGAACCCAGGGCTTTGTGCATGCTAAGTGATCACTCTACCACAGAGCTACATCCCTAGCCCAGCAGTGAAGCATTTTAAGAAGGCTAGTTTTCTTTAGCATGAAAGATGATTGAATGAGAAAATAGGTGCAAAGGAGATTTTCAGACTCAGAAGGGTTATAATTTAAAAGGACTATTTGTTGGCTAGTGGGATGGCTCAGCCAGTAAGATACTTGCTGCCAAGTCTGGCAACCCGAGTTGGATCCTCAGAATTCAAATGGGGAAAGGAGAGAACTGACTCCTTCAGGTTGTCCTCTGGCTTCCACACATGTTCGCACATGCACACAAACACACAAATAAATAAATGTAACCAAAAAAAAAATTTTTTTTTTTTGTCTTTTTGAGACAGGGTCTCCCTGTAACCTCAGCTGGCTGGAGCCCGCTATGTAGACCAGTCTGGCCTTGAACTCAGAGATCTGCCTGCCTCTTCCTCCCTTCCCCAGAGCTGGGATTAAAGGGCTAGGCCACCACACCTGGCTAAAAACATTTTTTAAAGTACTATTTGCAGGCAAATCATGGTGGTATACATCTGTAATCCCAGGTACTTTGGAGGCTAAGGTTGGAGGATCATTTGAGCCCAGGAAGTGTTGTGTGTGTATGTGTATATGCATATGTGTGTGGGCACATGCATGTGTATGCACATGTATGCATGAGACATGGACATTTCCTCAGGTGCCATCCACTTTTTTTGAGACAGAGTCTTATTGGTCTGGAGCTTGCTCATTTGACTAGGCTGGCTGGCCAGGGAGCCCTAGGGATCCTCTTGTCTCCGTAATCATCCTGGGTCCGACACCCCAGTGTGGATTATAAGCACACACTACCACACTCAGCTTTTTTCTGTGTATAGTAGAGGATGGAACTGAGGCCCTCATGATTGGTTAGCAAGCATTCTATCGGATGAGCTGTGTCAGCCAGTTTGTGGTAACCCTGCTCAACATAATGACAATATCCCCATTTCCAAAGGAAAAAAAAAAGAAGCACTATTGATAAACAGACCTCAGCTGCCTGATGACATTGGCATCCCACTTCTATACACAGAACAGGAATATAGGTGGTAAAAAATCGAGACTCTGGAGCACTGTCTGCTCTTGCACAGGACCTGGATTCAGTTCCCAGTACCCTCATGGTGGCTAATAACCAACCATAACTCCAGTTCTGGGAGATCCAACACCTTCTGGCCTCTGTGGACATTGCACTATATGGGTACACTTACGTTATTTGCAGGCAAAACACTTGTATACATAAAAAATTTTTTTTTAAGTGAGAATCTATATCAGTTACTACATGTATTAAAAGCAAGATTAAAAACTGGGTGGGGCTTGGTAGTACATGTCTATAATACCAGCACTTGGG